TGCTTCCATCTGCTGACAAGCTTTATGGAGATGCTGATTTCCTTTACCAGCAGAATTTTAGCACCTGCCCATAGTGCCAAAACCACTTCCAAGTGGTTTGCTGACCATGATCTGAATCTAGAATATATAAAAGTTTCACTTTTTGAAATAAGTTACAAAAAAATTTTACCTTTCCACGATATTCTAATTTCTTTAGATGCACCTGTAGGCTTCAACTGTAATGTCATGTCATTAGCACTGACCTCTGCAGCGGATTTCACTGACAGAAGCTACAATTTGGCATAAAAAAAATTCCCCCATTGACCCCATTCAGGTCAGTGGCATTAATGTGACATCAGGGGTTCAACCATAATTTTACAAAGCTACGAGAATGCTTTTTGAGCGCAAAAGAAAAAAAAGTAACGACTTTATTCAACAATTCGTCTCCTCCGCGTCACCCTAGCGCCATTTTGGAGAGTATCCACTGAACGTAAATTGCGTATGCTGTTTTGTGTCAGCTGTGCCACGCGGATACGTTGTTTTCGTTCAAATCAAAGCGTAAACGTCGTAAACAGCGTATCCGCATGGAGGGTCAGAGAGCTCTCAGATTCCATCAAACAATCTTAATTTGTGTTCTGAAGATGAACAGAGGTCTTAGGGGTTTAGAACGACATGAGGGTGAGATTTTTGGGTGAACTATCCCTTTAATCCATCTTAAAAACAGAATGCCTTTGAGATTAATGAGGATTTCTGTCACAATACCCAAACGAAGTGTACAATTATTGCAAAGTTCATTACAGTTCAAAACCAACATCGCATGTGGTTGTTGGAAATAAACCCTCTTTTTGGAACCATTTAATCTTCGTCATGTTAACCTCTGACCTCACATTCCCAGCCAGCAGCCCTTTGAGAGAAAACAGGCTGGAGGTCTGGGTCAGTTTACGTATATATGGTTGTGATGACTTTGATGTCACTAAAATAGATCCACTTAGCGGTCATATTTTATCTTTGGAACAGATGGAGCCTGTCGGAGAGGCTGAAAGATCCTGAAATACAACATAGTCTGAAATTTTAGCTACAGATCGTTTGGATAAAATTAATTTTGTTTCTGCTAGTGTGCAGCTGTTTCAGACACAGTATAACCTAGATCTGATAGTCATACTCTTGACATATCTTAGCATTGCCATGGTGCTCATGTCTCTTTCCTTGATAACGTGGATGTTAAAAATATGACAATTTTTTAGTCGATTATCATGATGCTTTGCTACCATGATGCTAACATGGACATGATGATATGAAACAGACACTGAACTTGAGAAACACTCACTATGTATATTAAGAAAGTAGAAGTGTGTGAGTGTGCAGTGAAATTCCTGTTTATATGGGAGTCATAAAAAAATTACTTTGAAATGCAACATACGGAAGTATACTTGGCATTTAAGTCTATTTCTGAAGTATCTAAATTCAAGGAAACCTTTAAAGGTGAGGTGTGCCATTTCTTTTATGCTAAAATGCCTATGTCTTCTTAAAGTCAGTGAATTGCTATTTGTAACCCATTTTACTTCCATAATGTGACATATACCTTAACGTTCAAAAGTCTGGGGTCAGAAAACTTTTGCATTTATTCTTTTTACATTGTTCCAAAGATTTTATGTTAAATAAATGCTGTGTTTGAATGAATGTCTGTTCATTACAAATCCTTTAAAATGTATTATGGCTTCCACAATATTAAAGGGGTCATATGATGCTGCTAAAAAGAACATTATTTTGTGTATTTGGTGTAATGAAATGTGTTGAAAGGAAAAAATGAAATCGCATCATATGACCCCTTTAAGCAGCAAAATTGATTTAAAAAAAATCATGCGACACTGATAACTGTAGTAATGACTGCTATACATTCAACTTAATTATATTAATATAATGTGGATTACATTTTATTATTTGACAGTATTACTCTTTTACTGAATTTGTGATCAAATAAATATAGCCTACCTTAACGTTCAAAAGTCTGGGGTCAGAAAAATTTTGCATTTATTCTTTTTACATTGTTCCAAAGATTTTATGTTAAATAAATGCTGTGTTTGAATGAATGTCTGTTCATTACAAATCCTTTAAAATGTATTATGGCTTCCACAATATTAAGCAGCAAAATTGATTTTAAAAAAATCATGCGACACTGATAACTGGAGTAATGACTGCTATACATTCAACTTAATTATATTAATATAATGTGGATTACATTTTATTATTTGACAGTATTACTCTTTTACTGAATTTGTGATCAAATAAATATAGCCTTGATGAGCATAAGAGACTTTTTTCAAAAACATTTAAAATATCTTACCGACCACACACGTTAAATGTTAGTTTATTTAAAAATGAAGGAAAATATTCAATGAGAAAAAATATAGGGTGGGAGTATCCAGAAGGAACTGATTTGAACATCCAGCACAACAATAATTCTCACTCTCCCTATCTATCTATCACATTTTTTTGTCTGTCTACATCACTCAGGGACTCCCTTCTGCTCTCCCATAACTGCCTCTTCATCTGCCCTTGACTTCTTTTCAGGTCTTGCTGTGTCCAGTCATCTTTTTGCCATTTTTCTGTTTCAGTGAGAAAGAATATCTCTCCATTTAGGCTGACAAAGAGGGTGATAACCTTGCCCAAGGTCTGGCGTAATTGACATTGTCAAGCCAGTAAGTTGTTTTCAGATGGAGAGGAGCTTTTCTGCTTTGCAAGCTGTCTCCAGTACAGAGCACATATTCCTGGGGTGCATCACCCATTGCAGATCAATCTGCGAAGCCTCCAGGATATTTCATCACTCGTTGTCTCTCCGATTTTCTTCTTCTCTGTCAGCCTGTCAGGTTCCACAGGCTGGAAATACAGTGGACATTTGACTCTCCATGCTGATGTTAAGCAGTTAGTGCAAGTTTTGCCTTTTCTGTAAGCGTGGCCACAGGAAGGCAGAATGATAAACCTGTGCCCCTGAAAAATTAGCTGCGTTTTGACTTCAAGGCTTAACGCAAAGAGCTTTTGACTGTTTTTCTTTGACCTGACAGTTTACATTCACTCAACTGACTGTGTTTACATTAATGACCCACTGTTACGACCCTATAGTTTTGTTGTGTTTTGTTCTGCTGGTTTGTGTGTGTCTGCCCAGGTTGCTGCTGATTGGTTCCTGCAGACTCATTGATGTCGTCCTCTGATTGGTCTTCTCCCCCTTAAAAGAGATGACAGCATTTCCTTCAAGGGGGGGTGTGGTGGTGGTGGCCATTTTGTGAACCATGCTGTTTGTTGGTGCAGCACTTGTGCTGTTTTACCCCCATTTGTATGCTGAGAGAGATTGTTTGGATATTCATTGTTTTGTGTAACGGTAATCTGGCTTACCCGACCCTTGCCTGTTGTACGATTTTGATTCTGGATTCTCCCTCTGAACTTGATGTTTCTTTGTAAATATTTATTGTGAATATTGTACATAGTTATTGGGAAAGTAAGGAGTCAGACGCCATCTTTTGTTTTTGTAACGTTTGGATCTGTGTTTTTGGAGTAGGTAGTTAGGTTCGAGAATTGTATTTTATTTTAGTTTCTTTACTTCGGATAGGTAATTTAGAGGGTTTAATATTAAGAACGTGCATGGGTGCATAAGCTGACAGTCAGCTCTATCTAGAGTTTGACAGAATTTTAAGGATGGCCCGGAGCCAGTGTTGAGAGAGTTTTGAGCCATTTCATTTTACATTCATTGTTGTACTTCCATTTTTGCAAACCTAAAGGTTAGAGCTTTACTTTGAGCAAGTTTAAATAATTAATTTTCAAATTAAGCATAAATTATGTAAAATAAATATAAATTACTTCATTTATATAGCATGTTATTTACTATATTTAAATGAAATGGCGTGCTTTCATATATATATATATATATATATGTATGTATGTATGTATGTCAGCTTTATATCAGCCACCCTGATCTCTAAAATATTGACATCAGCCATCAGTATTGAAATCCGTATGGAACGACCACTACTCAAAAGTGTTTAAAGGGATATTGTGGTGCTCTCGTGAACCCACGTCGAAAACTGACACGGAAGGGAAGAAATTGTTGAATAAAGTCGTTATTTTTGGGTGAACTATCCCTTTAACTTTCAATCCTTTCGATCTATAGTTGCCTATAGATTTATAATTCTTAAATTCATTTTAAAAAAAGGTATCCTTGCAGAATGTATGGTTGACATTTCCCAGCTGCCTGACATCTCATAAACCCCAAATTACTTAGTTTAACATGCAAAGATATAAACAAATATTCCATTACACTGGATATTAATGACAGAGAGGCTTCTACAGAGCATCAGGCCTGAGCAGAGACAATAAAGCCACACACAGCAGCTTTCAGCATCACAGCTGAGCCTTCTCTGGGCCTTAGGTGTGGAGCTGGCACGGCATCCAGCGCTCTCCTGGGATCAGCCTGAGATAAACACATTTAGGTGCACATGTGACCTATGAGCCCATTCAACAGTGCCAGCCTCCATCTCTCCCTCTCCCCACAGGAAGTCTGACTAAAAATCAACCCTTTATTGGTTAACACAATGTCCATTAACTACGGGTAGCACATTGCAAAGCACACCATTACAGTTTTTTTTATTATTTTTTTTATGTATTTATTTATGAGACTATAAGGATGATTCTAAAGGTGGTCTGTTATAGTGATGTGTGTTATTATAGAAACTATATGTTATGAGTATGATTGTATAGGAAGGATACTGTGAAAGAGATTGTGTGATGTCACCTTCATCTTTTTTTTTTATGCAGGCTTATTCTGGCTGCTAACAGAGATGAGGTCTACAGCAGACCGTCCAAAGCTGCAGACTTCTGGGGCAGCAACAATGAGTTCCTCAGCGGTAAATATCAGTCTTATTTTTCAGTTATTAGACAAATATTTAATATCCAAAGTCCAGTTTTTATCTCACCAACATTCTGAGAATTATTGGCTTTGCTGTGTCACTGAGGAATTCAGATGTTGGTTTTTATGTCAGCATTGAAGAGTTCATAGGAACTGCAAATAACTGAGTTTCTACAGTTTAGGATGAACAATAGTTTCTTCAAGAGTCTTTTTATTGTGTCTCACAGAGCCAGTCATTTGACTATCTGCATGATGTCTAGTCTAGAACAGCCCACTTAGATATAATGGAACTGTTGTGACCAAACACAGATTGCTTCATTTTTTTCCAGTTCATTTGCTACTAACCAGCTAGTTAAGTAGTGTGGCTGTCTAGTTTTTCCCCCCCAATTTTTTTTGTTTTGTTTACTATTTATCCACTAACTAACTATTTGAAGAATGTAGTTGGCTAGTTTATATATATATTTTTTGCTAATATTTGTTTAGGTTGAATATTTTGACTATTTGTCCACTAACTAACTAGTCAAATTGTGTGGTAGGCTAGCTTGTCTAGACTTTTTTCCTAATTTTTATGTTAGCTTTACTATTTTAACTATTTGTTCACTAACTAGCTACTTGAGTAGTATGGTTTGCTAGGTTTTCTTTTTTTCTGAATTTCTATATTAGCTTTAATATTTTTAGTACCTTTGCATGCAAGAGGCAGATCATGTGCTATTTAGCCTATTATTTAACTCAGAAAATATAAGAAAATTCTGTTTGTGGATATCTAGATTACTTGCTACTAGGTAGGGCTGTCGCGATAACCGCAATATCGCAATACCGCGCTA